TTAAATTAGAAAATAATTATATTAATGTTGGATTTAGCAAATAATATTCTGAAAATAACTCTATATATTAATAATACGGTTTTTTTATAATTTGAATAATTACATATATACATATTCTATTGATGGTTAGTTTATGATCATTTCCATTTTACTCCAAGAATAATAAACCTTTCATCTAATTTTTTTGGAGAGGTCCAATCAATTTTTTCCATGAGATTGGGAAACAATACATAAAATCTTCCAGCTATATCTTGCAAATCTATTGTATATTCAGAACCTGGCTCATTAACGGTAATCCACTCATAATCTGACAAAGTTCTTTTTTTACTATGCCCTTTATACAGCATCCCTCTTAGTAATCCGGCTCCGGTGAATTGGATGCCCTTTGTAGAATGCTGATAGATATTACTTATTAACAAATATTCTGGCACTTTTTGACCATTATTATATTTCTCATTAACGTCTACAGGAGTTAAACGAATGTAATCATTTCTATAAATCATTTCCGTTCCCAATAGGATGGCATTATATTTCTGCAATCGCAATTTTTCTGATGAATCTTTGGCTTCTTTATGTTTGTATGAACACACTGGAGTATACGTGTGAGAAATCTTATTCACTCGATCAATAGCCCGAACATATGTTTTAACATTCGGTTCTTTATAAGAATAATTTTATTAGAATTTATATTTACATGGTTATTTAGAAATTTTGAAATGATTAAGAAATTACCTAATTCTTCATTTTTATTAAATCCTTCCGGAATTTCTACTCTACAAACTAACCACGGCAACAATGATTTGCGATCAACTTGAACAATATCAGATAATTCCAATAAATGAATTTTGTAATAAGCTTTATAGACAACATTATAATCATCAGAATTTATCGAGGTCGTGTCGTCAGATATATTATCGGTTATTGGAACTTTCCTAGTTTCTAGTATTACTCCAGGCCAATACAAAATTGGTATATCATTATCATCTGAAGCATATCTTATAAGTTTAATATGTTGTTCATTTCCTGTTGCATTTAAGTTAACCATAACAACCTCTCCTCTTCTGTATAATGTTTTTGCGAATTTTG